GCACACATGTATAATGAGACCACGGTATAGGGGTCAGGTTGAGCTATACCGATTACAAGCGACCAATTCGAGTAAAGTATAAAGTTGGGAACTTAGTTCCTAACCGAGTATCGGAAGGTTGTAGTATTTGGAGGATAGTCAGTAAGCTAATCCCATAGATGACTTATTTAAGTTAGCTAATGTCGTGGTAGGCCTAAACCCAGTTGTCCTATTGTTGAGATTTCTGTTGAAATTAACTTTTGTTCTTATCATAAATCGTTTTGACTCTGACAATAGACTCAAACACGACAAGTATACCGGCCATTCAAGTAGTAAATTTAAATCGTATCCACAGGGACTAGTAGGTAAAATAAGCATTTAATGACTATTTGTGACTAAAGAATAATTCCAATTTTCATATGTTGTCATGCAATTCAAATAAAGGTTATGACTATTGGAATTTCAAACCTATGATATACTTTGTGTGTGTGGAAGGGATAAGAAATGGTATTGTGATTTTGTAAGATTGTGGGGTCAGATATCACCGAACTTCACACTGATGAATCTTTGTTCTCTTGTTATATTCATTGCGCCTAGTCAACCCATAAGTTTACTCAAACCTAATCCCTTAGAGCAAGAACCTAGGTGCAAATAATGAATATCAATTCCTTGAGTATCCAATACATACACCTGCATTACGGGTTAGTAGGGTTTAAGACTACTAATGGGCCAAACTCCATTCCTAGATACATTTACCACTAGGTATTTGTTTCAGAGCTAGTTCAAAAGGCCATTTTCCAATACCTAATGGACTCTATATCAAGCAAAGGAGAATCAATCCAAAGCAAGCATTAAGAATATAAACATACACAACAATAAATGAAACAACATATATATATCATTAATAATGTGAAGATTACATAAGAGTTTCGTTGGTTACATCTAACCCCACAAAATAATGGATAGAACCGCTCAAAACGATGAGGGTAAAACAAAAATAGAGATGGAAGAGAGATAGAAGAACTGAAGGAAAGATCCACACACGAACGGTCCCAAGCACCGGAAATCCCTTCCACAGCTCCTAGAAGTCGCCCAATGTGTGAATGAGGGAAAAATCCTCGAAGACTTGATCAAATACGAGCTGGGTGAGTCAGGTTAGGGTTACCACTCCCGGCGCATTATGCTTTGTGCCCGGTGTAGGGCCTTCCAGAGAGTTTAGTTACTCTCTGTCTCAAGACACGCACGACGCAATTACTCTCAAGCCGGGCGTGATGTCTTCCAGAGAGTTTAGGTTGCTCTCTGTCTCGATCACGCCCAGTGCATCTACTTTTGCGCCCAGCACAATTCTGAATTGTAGAGAGTGTGACTCTTTGTTTTGCTCCAGCCCGGCGCGGGTAGTCTTGCGCTTGGTGCAGGTACTCTTCTCCTGCTCCTTAGCTCCTTTAATTTCCAATCCAACGGGTCTTCAACTTTCAACTCTTCACTCAATACCTGCACAAAAATGAGGAGTATCAGGGTATTGTTAGATGAGTTTTGGGTTAGCTATATTTGCACAAAATTTGAATAAAAAAGAGAACAATTATATTGCAAGAGTGCATGGGGTGAGTGGAATTGTTCAATAATTCCTATCTAAACATATGTATAAATGAGACTTAACACCTATCCTGACATAGTACTATACTTCCTTGCTTAAGTGGAAAAGTCTGAGAAACCGTTATCGTGTTATGGATTTTTATCCAAATTTGCTGTTTACCTAGCAAGCCCAAAAAGGTTCTGTATTGTTGGTTCGGTAGGACCTAGCCACTTAGACTGCTCACCTTGTGTTGTAAGAGATCTCCGAGTTGTAATGCGTGACGACGCATAAATTGTTGATGAATTGATTTTGTGTTGATGTAAGTTGTTTATATGTTGTTGTGTTGTGAAGTTGTGGTTGAGTTGTGTGTTGTATGTTGAACTGTTGAGGATGATGATAGTGTTGTTGTGTTGTAAGTAGCTTATATATATGTTGATTCTTTTCACTAGCTTACCCTTGCATGTTTCCATGTGGTGTGGATTGCGATGATCATACTATGTATGGGAGCAAGACAGGGATAAGCTGTTGTGAGCGGTTGGAGGCCACTTGGTGGTAGGAGCTGGAGTAGGTGATCTTTTTGCAGGCTACCTTGGAGTAATATTTTGTTGGCATTATATATATTTATTTGGCCTATTGAGCCTTTATGGTTGGATAGATGTATATATTTTCTTATTATACTAGTTAGTATATATATATTTTAGTGGTGTATAGTGTTGTTCTGCAGTATGACGTCCATGACGGATCGTTACAAGATACGAGACTTCAAATTAGTATTATATGCATAAGTGAAATAAAATATAGAGATACATTGCATGACATGAATTACTAGTATCTTGATATGTGTTTTGAATTACAAATGTCATATTGTTATATAGTTTACTTGTGTGTACGTTATTCAACCTTAATTTGTTTCATATCAAGAACATGTAATGAAACATATCTTCCTCCTTATTTTTATTTAATTGTTTACTAAGCTCTAAGAGACTATACTCTTTTAAGAACCTCCCCTTTTAAAATAAACTCTACTAATTAATTAAAATACCATTCATTATTCAAATAACCTAGAATTAATATTAAAATTATATTAGATCTATTTTTGTGAAATTTTACAAGCCACTCCAAAATGCTAATATAGAACATCTTTAATTTTAATTAGTCCTTTAATGTTTTTAATTATTTAAGCTTTTATATAAATTTTTAGAAATAAAACAAATTTGTTTCTTTTGTTGATTTTATTACCCTTAAATTTTCATTTTCTACTCAATTCTTTTATAAATTTAATCAATTAAGTTGTTTTAAATCTACTTTTACTCCAAACTCTTTAATGAAAACATCAAATTTATAAATAAAAAAACATTTTTCTCTTTAAACTTTATTATCATTCTTATTACACACTTAAAAATTTTATAAATTAAAGAATCGACTAATTTTTTAACTTTTGAAAGTTTCAAATTTGACATTAATTATTAATTATTTCTTAAATATTTAAAATGAAAGTACAATTTTAGAAGATTAGATAGAAAATATACGATAAAAATAAAATTGTTTCTAATTTTTAAAACAATTAATGGATCCTAATTAACTAAAAATACACTATATATTAAAATCGTATCTAATTTAAATTGAAGCCGGTAAAAACAATTTCATGTCGTCATCTAATAATAATTTATTAATTTCTATAATAATTATATTAAAAATCATATAAATTATATTTTTTGATTGATTTACTATATAAAAAATTTTACATTGTCATTACAAGACTAATCCCTTAAATATGAAGTATTCTTTTCTAACCCTTTAAACATATAGTTAATTACCTATATACTGCCAGTGTAACTGTAAATTTTTTTTTACACGGACAATCAATTATATCTTTTAATTATGTCATGTTACTGTTAAAAGTAAATATGTTTATAGTAACATGACACAATTAAAAGATATAATTGATTATCAATGTAAAAAAGACTTTACACTAATAATGTATAGATGATTAATTCTTAAACATATACATACAATGATTTATAAATAAAATTAGTTACTTAAATTAGTCTTTAGAATAAAAACATGCTGTTTTTCATAAAATAAAATGAACCTAAGGGGAATAGGGGATAAATATTGGCATCACGTTAAATTCCTATCGATGTATCCTAGGACGGTGCAAAAAGGTTGAGTGTGATTTGGGTTCCGAAACATTGTATTGAACCACCACTATTAATGAATGCATGAACATGTGTCCATGTTACATCATCACTCGCGTAGGGACATATACATGACTTCAAGACGAAATTTCTTTAAATAAAAGCAATTCCACTATTTATTTTGAAGTGAATACCATAGTTTTAAGATACTCCTTTCTCAATCGATAAACCTCGTATTAAAAGAAAAAAAATAAGTTATAAATAAATAAGTGTTAGATTAGTTTTTTAATATAGTATTAATTATTTTTTCTATTTATGTTTTTTATAATATTTTTAAAAAGTAATTATTGTGTTGTATTATTTTTAGATATTTAATCATTTTTATCTTATAATAAACGTTGTCTAAAATTATTTTACATAGATAAAAAATTAATAATAAATAAAAAGAATAATAATAATTTTATAAAATTAATTTTAATATTAATTTTATTTATTAAAAATAAAATAATCACTTTCTAAAAAATATTATAAAAAATATAAATAAAAAATAATTAATATTATATTAAAAAGTTAATATAATACTTATTTTATGAATTATTTTTTCTAAAATGCAACATTTATTATAGGACAATAGGAATACTTAATTTAAAGAATAATACTATATACAATAAAAATTATATAATTATTTGTGTAACATCACTTTTTGAGAGATACTTCCTCTAGACATATATATATATAAGAAAAGAAAACTAATTGTACAATCACTTTTGGAGAGAGATATTCCTTCTCTACCTATATATAAGAAAAAAAATTAATTTCACAATATTAAAAATTTAGTTAAATACATTTAATTTTGATAATTTTATATAAAATATATATTATATTTACTAAAAACATATATAATAATAACTTTTCACAATGAATTATTCATGTAATCAATAATTAAAATAATTCAATTTTCTCAAATTTTTTTCAACAACAAACACTTCAACTCTCTTGATTATAATTTTTTATTTTTATTTTTTTTCGAAATACATAACTGAAGAATCTCACTTGAACACAACTTTCACCGAAACATGTTGGGAAAGCGACAGAATTAGCTAGCCAGCCAGGAATGTTCGAAAGCCAAGTTCCCAACGTGTGCTTTGGTCGGTGTTTTCAACCGTTCAGTCAACCCCACTTAACGTCCATTACAAAACCGCTTCAATACCACGACCAACCGAATCTCCCCACGCCGTTACCGTTTCTCTCCCGTCAAATTCCACCACCCTTGACCCCGTCCATTTTCTTCCCCTATATATACTCCATTTGAACGCTCCTCCTTCTCAATTTGCGGTTTTTCAACCTACCCTTTTTCCACGTTACCTTCATTTTCCTTCAAAACCATAGTCCCACATAGAAAATCATAACATTTGCCAACTTTGCACACGAAATTCTCCAAGGTTTAGCTCGCCACGTGTCTTGATTCAAAGTCTTTTCTAATGGTAGGTGTTGAATTTGATTATTCATCTTGGAGGTAATGCTAAGTGCTAACTACACCAATGCTTTTCATTTTCCTCGTTAATTTGTGGTTTCTTCTGAAACCGTATTATTAATCAGTCTATGTATCTGTTTATCTGTATCCCTTTTGTGTCTTTGTTTGCGCTGAATAGATGTACGGAACTGATTCTTACTCCTTGGTGATTTGAGGGTGTTGCTTTTTGAAATAAGATATAGTATTTTGCATGTTGTAACGTCATACCTGCTGCTCAAAATTGCAAATTTTGGGTCTGAGTTAAAGTTTTGGACTTTGATTTGATTGAAGTTTTATACTTGAGTAAATGGTTTTGGTGGGGTGGATTATAGGACTTTTGAATTAGGACGGAGATTCTTTTTCTGGGTTCCGACTTCCGACCAAAATTTCTTCATTTTTTTGGCATGAAAGAGTTGCATATGCTGTTTGTTTCCATGAACTCAGCATCAGGGAGTGGGGCAACTGCACAATAACATCCACAGTAAATAATAAGGTTTAACTTTTGATTACACGGTTCATTGGCTGCCCTCGGTTTCAAAGCAAAGATTTGGGTCTGCAATGAGGAATTGCGAGTTACATGGTATTGTTATTGTTGTTGTTGCTGCTGCTGCTGTTACTATTGTTATTGTATGCTTTGTTTCTCTTGCTATTTGAAATTTGTTTTGTTTGTGATGTCTGTGTCTTTCTCCCTGTGTGTTTAGTAAATTAGTATATGAGCAGATTTCCTCTTGATGTGAAGAAAATTTATGAAGGAATGTTTTTCTTTGTGGTTGTTCATATTCAAATCACTTGAGAGGGGTTTTGGAATTGCATCCTTTAGAATAAATGCTGATGAAGTCCAATATTCTGTTGCTGTTTGTATCTTTTGAGTTACACCACTTGTATGCAGTTATGCACAATTTTTCCTATTTTATATAGATGATAATTTGTTGATGAGACTGAGAGCACTACCACACTACAACATTGGCGCTCGAAGAATCATTTTGATCACTTTCCCATCTAGTTTTGGCTCCAAATTCATGTTTGTTTTGTTTGATATCGGAAATACTTTTCCTCTTCAACCTGCTAAACCAGTTTCCAAATTTCTGTTATATTTTTTCCTGTGAGCCAAGAGAGTAGCGGTGAATTCAACCTACAAAATACCAAAATTATAGCCTTTTTTTTGTTAATCAGCTTATATTTTTTAGTGTATTGAACTTCATTTATTTCTTGTGTGTATGTGTGAGTTTGATGATTTATGTATGTTGTGTTTCTTTCAGCTTCTCCACTCGTTAGACTAGTAGATGATCGTTGATGTGAACAATCATTTATGTTATTGTGGTGTTATGTAAATATTGACAGACTGTTTCTCTGTTTTTCAAGGTTTATCTGCTATTATTGAAAGTGTTGGGATCCAAGTCCCAAGCAGAAGTTTTCCAAGGCAGCTGCTTTTAGCTGATGCCATCATCATAGTATGGACTTGAACCAGTTTTTAAGTTTCAGTGTGACTAATTCAGCAGTAATCCCTTGTATTTTAT